TATTCTTGAAACAATACATACATATTATACTTAAAACATATTCTAGTAAATATATACTTCATATTTAAAATGTATTCTTGTAACAACACATACATAATATACTTCAAATGTATCTATACACATTTCAACACTAGTTATAGACACTCACCTATACTGCAGTGCTACAGTGAGGTTTACTGTCATAAATGGCCAAAATATCTTCCTATACACCTTGAAAATTAACATTTAATTAAACATAAATAATTTAGCCTCCCGATTCCAATGTAATACGACATAAAGAGACTATTAGACTATTAGGCAACAGCTGTATTTACTATGACGTCACAGACGATGTTTTCCTCAATGCAGTGTCAGTGTCTGCACTCCCCCATCTCCCCCAATATCCCGGGCAGCATGTCCTCACCGTTTTGTCGTTGGGCTGCTGCTGCTGTATTTGTTTCATCAAGATGCTCCTCTTCTTGTCTTTGCACCTCTTGTTCTGGAACCAGACCCTGATGACCCGGGGACTGAGACCGGTCATCTCCACCAGCTGCTCCTTCATCAGTGCGTCGGGTCGGGGGTTGGCGGCGTAACAAGTCCGCAAGGTGTGAAGCTGCTTCTCATTGAGGACGGTCCGGACCCGGGTGGTCTTCTCTGGCTGCTTGTGGACGTGAGGCCTGAGGGCCGGCTGCCGGGCAGAAATGGGTTCTGCTGTAAAATCAATGAACGATTCATAAGACAAAAAGCCTCACGGTAGCTCTTCACAGATCACCCCAACACTGGCTGTCATTTGTGTCTCCACCAAGTTCAATGGGGAGGATTTCCTAAAGGAGTAACGGCTGTTCACTTAGCAAAGTGTCCACGTTCACTGAGCTTAGTAAATAAGGTCCAGCAGGCTTCTTTTCAAGCAACCAATCACCTGCTAGCAAAAATCCGATTTGTTTTTTTAACTACCCACACAGAATTGGTTAAAGGCAACACCAATTCGCCCTATTTAATTACAATGACTTTGCTAAGTGAATAGCCTCTACTCCTTTAGTAAATCAGACTCCTTGCATCTGTTCAATTTGTGATGGGGATATCCGTTTTAAAGCATATTGCACTTATTGGGCTGCCGCAAAATAAATATCATCCTTTAACTAAATGCACGTGGGTGACAATTTCACAGAAACCCCATTTGCAGTCCCCAGGGAAGCACAGGCAATTTAAGGAGATTAGCGTTTATATAGAACGCTACGAAATGACCAGCAGCGACGTTTCGGCAAACGTTAATAAACGGCCTCAATGCTGAAGCTAATCGGGCGTCCCTTCTCTCCAGGAAAAGCTCTGCAGTTATTTACGATACCTGAAAATACTTTCACAAAAGAAAAAAAATTCCCTGTGTAGTTTGACTAAGAACATTTGCTAAATAAATAAGACACCAATGAGACTGCCACCGCTAACCAGCCCCAGCAAAAGCCTGCAATCAGACCGCCTATTCAGACCTGCTAAAGCGAGATATAAAACACAATAAAAGAGTGCAAACATTGTTCCTTCTTAAATATTGTGTTAGGCTGATAAGGGACAATAAAAAAAAAAAGTTGCATGGAGGGTGAACGCTTTTGGTTTCCTAAGTATGTGGTTAACAGGGCTGTTTGCGAAAGATTCAGGTAGATAGGAACACAGAGCTTGAGCCTTTCATGTCCATGAAAATAAAAGACAGAAAAATGAAACAGGACTGGGGCTCACGCAGGGACCAAACCGTTTTTCTTCTTCCACTATCTCTCTCTCTCTCTCTACAAAGGTATTTTGTTGACTTGCTTCAATGTATCCAATCTCCGTTCAATTAGTCAGAAATGGAGTGGAAAATTTCTCTTTTTGGATTATAACAACTAGTTTATCCAAACGGTGCCATATGATACTTGTGGTTTGTGAGCAAGGGCTTCCAAGGGAGGCTTCAGCCTGGGAGTAGAATGGAGTCCCCCTGCTCCTGTACAAGGAGGATTGCAGCCCCCTCTTAGATGGAGGATGGAGTTACAGGACCCGAATTGAAGATCTGACCCCCCTCATATCACCAGCTAGGGCCTGAAAACTGCACCGATCACTCTAGCTGGCAATTACTGCAGATTAGCTTGTTGACAGTTTAAAATTACAGCCTGGAGTATGTGCATTCATTCCACAGCTCCTATGGGAGGAGGGGAGATTGTGCTGCTGTATTCCTATAGTGTACATGCAGGATTAACAATGTCATTATAACATGTATGTATGTCAGGGATAATAACACACCGACTGCATGTATATACATAACTAGGGGGCAAGATGGTGTATGCGCCTAAATATAAACATGTACAGTTCTGAACACGCCCACAACACGTGTACATTGCAGGGGACTTATTCTGCTTTAAGAAGATGTTTGTGCTGTATGCATTTTATGTGCTGTAAAATAAATTTTATACTTGTGCATACCGTGCTGTAATTCCTGATACACTTGTATGCATAATACATGACATCACATGAGTTTGATAGGAGAATGTGCTGCATGCATATACACAATTAATATTTTTGGAAGGGGTGCCCATGCAGTTCCCCCAATCACAGAAGCTGGTGGTCAGCAGCAACCCCCCCAAGTGTCAGCAGAATAAAGGATGAAGAAGTACCTGCCATCTGTAGGGGTCTGGCCGGATGCAGCGGGCTGAGAGGGTCTCCGGCCCCCAGACTGGCCCTTTCCACCACATCGTGGTCCGCCCGACAGAAGAGCCCGTCCTCCCGCAGTGCGAATTCGTCCCCGGGGATGAGCTGACGGCTGCAGGCCACGCATCGGAAACACTCGATGTGATAGACCTTGGAGCGGGCCCTCATGACAAAGTCATTCTTACTGAAGCCGATATTGCACTTGGCACACTTGATCCCATACAACCTGCGAGGCCCGGCGACAATGGGGAGAGAGCAGACAAGGCACATACAGACTCAGTATCAGGTCTCACAGGCTGGCCGGCAATGTCACTACTATACAAGTGGCTCCTTCAAAGTCCTTGTCCTTATCACAACTCTGCCTAGATCTCTATTTATTGTGCAGCCTGACTCAACAACTGCCACACAAACCTACTCCTTCAAGGAACATGGAATGACAACAGGCAGTGCTGATCAGTGTGATCACCCTTCAGGGTTACATGACACATACCTAAAATATGACACTGTGTGCTCTAATATAAAACACTGGACAGGCATGGCAGCCAACAATGACTAATTACAAATCGTTTTAATATTCAATAGCAATTCTAAAAGTAATAATTATAATTAAGCTTTTCCCCAAATGTTAGCAGGAGAAGCAAATAAAAAAATTATACTACAAAGTTCAGACTGTTCATCTCTCCCTTTATACAATTAAATACACAATTCTGCAATTTTTATAAACAAAAAAAATACATCGAACTGATCGTGCTGGCAATTAAATAAAATGTATGTCTCACTTTCTCACAAAGAAAAATTAAATGTACCCATTTTCAAAAATTCGCAAAAAAAAAAAGAATCTACATTGTTTTACCAATATGAAAGCTTGCCTATAGGTGCAGCAACAGATATGTTGTAGTTTTAGATAACTTAGATAACACGAGATCTGTATCAACTGTGCACATCATTATTTAAGTAAATAATGCAGGTCTAATACATTATTAAAAAGTACAAAAAGTGCTCTTTTTTTTTTAAAGAAAAAATAAAAATCTGTAAAATGTTTTCTTTTTTTTTTTAGACCCATCGCTGATGAGGGGCGTTGGAGGAAACAGGATAAACAGTCGCTGAAGTTTTGCTTGGGTGTTTGTTGTGTCACAACTGCTATTTAGACTTCTTTATCAGCATCCAGATTTTAATGTGAGGAAGGAAGCAGTTGCCTTTATCTAAATATCCCAATTGTTTGCCTCCAAATGATGGGCAATTTGATCTGTTCAGTCTAATTCATCAGGAAAGATAAGATAAGGGAGGCAGACAGCCCTGCCCCCCAAAAACAGGTAATTTAATTTTTTTTTTTTTTTTTTTTTACTATTCTTTCACGATGTGCTGAATCGGGCTATAGCTACCTTCATTTTTTGATCCCATATATCTAAACATAAAAAAGTGGTCCCATTTTAGATCAGTGGCTTTCTAAATACAGCATCAATACACGTTCAAGTATCTTCTCCAGGCAATTCTACATTTAATTGCAGTGATCCACAGCAGCAATCAAACCTAAAATCTGCTACCAGGCAGGATGTATTGAGATAAAAAAAAATGCAAGAGCATAATAGCCACAAAAAAATCAGCTAAATAAAAATGTAATTAAAAAAATGTCAACGCTATAAAAATATATATTATTTTAAGGGGGGAATTTTTTTAAAAATCCAATATTCAAAAAAATCCAGAAGGAAGTAAATAAAATGAAAACTTGTAAAAGAAAGAGGGCAGTATTTTTTTCTCAGTGGGCATACCTGATATAGTCCCTTTTACAGTACGTTTTGCCATCCCTAACAAAGCACGTGCAAGTTTCGTCCAAATATTGGTTGCATTCAGCACACTTGAGACACGCTGCATGCCATTCCAGGTCTGGAGACACCCTCAGTATATACTGGTCGTGGATCTGATTTCCGCAGCCGACACACAGTGAAATGAGTCTTTTTTCTGGAAAAGAAAAATGGGGAAAAAATGAAATAAATTAGCATTAGGCTTGACCAAACAGTCCTAACCCTATTTCAGCGTCCTTCTCCCCTAGAGGTGTGCTATGGCAACCTGAGTGTGTCTGTGTTGGCTTTCCAAATAAAAATAAATAAAACAGATCTCACTTTTTTTTTGGGGGGGAGATAATTGATGTATGCCATCAGGATCTTTGACTCGTTGACATAGGAGGCGGATCATGTGTTCAGTGAAAACTGGGGATTGTCAATGGCAATCTGCAGTGTACCTTTAAATCAAGGTAGTTGATCTGGTCCTTTTTCTGACAAGGTTTAGGGGGAAAGGGTAGAATTTTAGAATGTGCATTGGCTGACTGCATGCTGTCAGGCAGAACAGAGGAGTCAAAGTTGGCAGCCCAAATCATACACACCATTACATGTGTCATTTGCTTTTCAGTTCAATCACAGGCTGCAAGTTGCATGCAAAACAGGATTTATTTTTTGTATTATTATTATCATGAGGAGGCACAGGCTGGCCACCCTCCTATGCCCCAATCATTAGGCTGCAGCAACAGACCCACACGGTGACACCAGGGAGAGTGTCCCTCCAAAGTCCAAAACAGTGACCCCAGATGCCAGAATTTCAATTCCAGGGTCACCAGCGCCTGATCACTGGAAGTGCCATGTGGGTTCAGCTGAAGGAGGATTTTGTTTTTAGCATTATTATAAGATATTTTAAAAAATGTGATAACATATGATGTTGCATGCACACACAGAATAATTCCAGGCACAACCTGACAAGGGTCCCAGCGACATTTGGCAAGGGACTGGTCTTGCAGGGGGTGCATTTAGGATGAAGGCGATCCCGGCTAGTGTATAAAAAAGGCTGCTTACTTTTTGGAGGGTCTCCCATGTCTCCCATGTCTGACAGAGGGTGTAATGTCCACAGTGAAATGGTGTCAGCTTGGTGTATCCACAGACAGAGTGAAAGACTTGTGCAGAGGGTGCAATGTCAGGAGCCCAGCAGAGGTGTCTTCCTGGTGCTTGCTTGCTGTGCGCTGCCCTCCCCCTGGCTCCTGGCTGCTCTGATCAGTCCACTATCCTCAGTGGAGGAGACGCTGCAGTGTCGGAGTCAATGCTGATCGGCCACTCTCTTCCTTATCTCTTACTCAAACTTCTCTGCTCCAACTCAGCTCAACCTCCATGGGTGTGACGCAGAGCGCGGCCACGTCACTGCTACCCCCAGCTGATTGGCTGAGCCGCGCACCGAGCAGCTGTGCTTATTATCACATTTCACAGTCCCGGAGTCCTGTGTGTGCCACTATCCCCGCTGCCGCCGCCGCCGCCACTGCTTGCTGCAACACCCCCACCACCATCACCATCACCACCACCACCAACCCGGATTAATGTGTAACTGCCTCTCACCTCCACTGCTACATATTTCCTTCACACCATTCCCAGAGCATGCACACGGCTCCGCAGCCTGATCTCTACATATGTGCACACATATATAGAGAGCTGCAAGGCAGAAGAACAAAGGTTCAGCAATATTGGTACACCCCAAATATGTGATGGTAAACCACTATGTCTAATATTAACAATATCAGAACAACTCAACATGTGATGTAAACTGTGTGTAAAATATATATACTTCAGCACTAGTGTACCCCAAACATGTGATGTATACATATATAGATAGGAATTGATACATAGACAGATAGATAGATAGCTAGATAAATAAGACAGATAGATAGTTTGGTACATAAAGA